TAAATCTGTTGAGAGGGAAGTGCAGAGTGGCATGGTCCTGCTGGGTGTCACAGATGCCGGGCTGCCTGGTGTCAGTTAGGGCCTTGCCACTTAGCTCTGTGACTGTGTGCACATAACCTCTCTGAGCCTCAGTTTCTTCATCTGTAAGATGGTCATAATGATAATTCCCAGAGTCTCCATCTCAGAGGATATTGAGAAGATTAAGTAAAATAATCCCAGAAAAGCACTTAGCACTTGCCTGGTGAACTAAATGTCAGTGGTTATTATTTCCCAAATAAGTAATATTTGCACTGACCTATGAGGGATGAATGGGGGTGGGGAGGGGTAGGAAACATGGGGGCACTGACCTATGAGGGATGAATGGGGGTGGGGAGGGGTAGGAAACATGGGGGCAGCACAATGTATGCAAAGGCCCTGGGGTGAGATGTGTTGAAGTGGAAGCAGAGCAGGGTGGTGAGAGGCAGGGACCAGAGTGGTGGACGGGGCATTGAAGGCCCATAAAAGCGTCTTTTATATCCCCGGGAGCCAAGGGCGTTCAGCGTGGGCGACAGAGCACAGGCACACGCCATATTGTCCTTCTTCCCGGTGACCTGACTTGGGGGACAGTCAAAATATTGAACAGCTGGCTTGGTGGGACACTGACACGCTGGGCCCGCCCCACTCTGCCAGCTGTCACCCCTTAGTGCTGGGTGGTGAGAGGGTCCGGAAGGTACCAGGGAGGGGCAGGGGCGGAGCTCAGCCCAGAAGCTCTTTTCCCGAAAGGTAGCATCCCGGTGTAGCCTCAGACCACAGACGCTGCTCGACGCCAGCCCTGCCTGGCTCCCTCTCTTCTGTGCCCTGTGCTGTCGCCTCCCCCTGCGGTAGACACCCTCCTGTCCTCCAAACTCCCCCTCCCACGAAGACACCCAGGTGAAGGGGGTGGCAAGGGGGCCTCCCTGAGACACGCTTCCTCCCCACAGGCAACTCCAACCTGGTCTACGCCATCATCCGAAAGCGCGGTGTCTTCCACCAGCTGGCCAACCTGCCCACGGACCCGCCCGCCATCCACAAGGCGTTGCAGCGGCGCCGCCGGGCTCCCGAGGCCTTGTCCCGCACCAGCTCGCAGGAGGGTGTCTCTATGGAGGGCTCCCACCCCGCTGCCCCCGCCGAGCCGGGCACCCTCAAGGCCAGCCTGGTGGCCACCCCAGGTCCGGTGCTGGCGAGGGGCAGGGTGCTGTGCAGTGGCGGCAAGGGTGGGGGTGGAGGTACGGGGGGCCCGGGCGGGGCAGCTTGGTGGGGGGACCGGGCCTTGGGGCTGAGCGTTGGGGGGTCTGGCACAGCATCTGTGAAGTGGGGGGAAGTTGGAGACTTTCAGGGCCGGCCCCAGGCAGAGGCTTTCTAGGAGGAGCACTGTGGCAGGAGTCCTCACGGCTCCCCACCCCGCCCTCCAGGCATTGAGAAGCTGACGGAGAAGTCCCAGGTGTCAGAGGATGGCACCTTGCGATCCCTGGAGCCTGCACCCCAGCAGAACTCGGCAGAGTGCAGCCCAGCCTCGGAGGTAGGTGCGGGGACTCCTGGCAGGGCTGGGTGGCGAGGCTGGGCTTTCCCTTTCTCCCTGGCCTCCAAGGTGTAGGCCGGGCCGGAGCACTGTGCAGCAGAGGGGCAGGTACCCAGTGCCCAGGGCGTCAGGCTTGGCACTGATGACTCTCTGGGGATGGGGGGGCCTTTCACAGACCCCTCCCTTGTTTATTGGTCACGGGCTCAATCCCTTGGCCGTGAGACTCCTCACCCGTCAGCCTTATCTAGGCTGGGCTGGCCTTTACCCAGTCTGCTCAGTCAGCTCCTGGCCCTAAACCTGTCACTGGGCTGGGCAGGGTCAGGCAGGGCCTGGGGCCCAGGGCAAAGGTGCTGGGCTGGGCTATCCCCTGCTTTGGGAGTGAGCCCCCTCCCTGCAACATGGGCCAATGGGGAGACCTCATTGCCCTCCCCAGCCCCCTGCACCCTCTCTCCACATCCCTCTCTCTTATTCCTTCCCCGGGACCAGGAGCCCAGCCAGGCGTGGCGGGAGCAGCGGCGACTGTCCAGCGCATCAGCCAGTGGGCAGTGGAGCCCGACGTCGGAGTGGGTGAGGGTGGGACAGATGGTACAAGGTGCGGGGGTGGGTCCGGGGCTCCTGGCCCTGGGAACAGCTCAGGAGAGGCTTGGATGGGAATGGGTCCAAATCCAAGCACTGGCCCGGGTCAGGTTAGGGGTCAGTCCTGTCTCATGACCTTGGCTTCTCTGGCTTGGTTGCTTCCTCTGTCTACACTGTCCCAGAGTTGGTTCCCCAGCAGGGTTAAGCTTCAGTTGTCCACAGCCCTTTCTTAGTAAATCACCCTTTCCAACTTCCTTCCCCAAATCACTTGCCCACTCCCTTACATGATTCCTGAGATCGCCACTAATTGCATTTGCACGGGGATAAAAAATGTCCCTACCTCATCAGGCCATTGTGAGGATCAAAGGGGATACTTTCTGGCACACAGGACATGCTCAGTGAGAGGCCCCGGCTCTTCCCATGAATAGCAGTCACTGTGCACGGGCACTGCCCTGTACCAGGCCCCTGCTGTGATGAGCGGGGGATGCTTCTGCCTTGGGGAGTCCGTGGTTTCAGGTCAGGGGTCAAGCCTATGCCACAGCCTCTGGGGGCTGTTTTGCCAGCCCAGGAACCCCAGTCCCTCCCCCAGGTCCTCTCCTGGAAGTCGAAGCTGCCGCTGCAAACCATCATGAGGCTGCTCCAGGTGCTGGTTCCCCAGGTGGAGAAGATCTGCATTGACAAGTGAGGCTTGGGGACGGGGCTGGGCTCTGAGGGGCCAGCCCAGGCTGCGCTGGGGGTGTGGCCGGGAGCATGGGCCTCGGGGGTCCAGGGTGAGCCTCTGCTCCCCTTGACCTTCAGAGTGGGCACATTGGAGACCCTCCTCTCCCTGGCAGGGGCCTGACGGACGAGTCAGAGATCCTGCGGTTCCTGCAACATGGCACCCTGGTGGGGCTGCTGCCCGTGCCCCACCCCATCCTCATCCGCAAGTACCAGGCCAGCTCGGGCGCGGCCAGGTGGCTCCGCACCTACCTGTGGGGCGCCATCTACCTGAGGTGGGCCCCTTGCGGGTGGGGCAGTTACCGGCCTGGGTGGGTCTGGCATCCACCCGAGGGTCAGCTCAGTGGGGCTGTGCCCCACTAGGGTAGTGGGGTTAATGTCAAGACAGTCAGCCAGGGTGGTCTTGTCTGGTGGAGGGTGGGCACCCACTTCCCCAGGGGCAGGGGGCAGAGAACATCAGGGTGGGAGGACGACAGCCTCATTCCTCCCCAGTCTTTCCTGCAAGGCCTCCCGGCACCTGGGTGACGGCCCACTCCCTCTGCAGGAACGTGGACCCACCTGTCTGGTACGACACAGACGTGAAGCTGTTTGAGATCCAGCGGGTGTGAAGATGGAAGCTTGCAAGGGGCAGGGACCAGGGGAAGGCAGGGACCCTCGTCCCCCGATGTTCCCCCCGACCCACCATTCTGAGCTTTAAATTACTACGGTCAGGGCTGGGGGCTTGAGTGGCTGAGTCCTGAGTGGCAGAGCCAGGAGGCCCCTTGTGGCTGGGATGGTGGGGGGCCCCCCTGCCTCCAGGCTGGATTGAGAGGAACTTTCTGTCTCCAGGACTGCAGCCCTCCACCAGGGGCCCACCTCACTCTGGCTCCCCTTCGGGACCCGTTTCTGTGCTGACCCTCAGTGCCCGCCTGGCTCCTGAGCTGCCCAGCCCTCTGCCCTAGTGGGCTGCCCAAGAGGGAGTCTTGGGTGGCCCCTTGAGGCACCTGGGCAGGGTGAGGGGAGCCTTTCCAAGCCTCCTAACCTGAAAACACCTGGTCCAGGCCCGGCTCGCTGCCAGGACCCCGGGAAGGAGGGTGACCAGGCTGCTTGTGGAGGAGGCTGGGGGCTGACAGGCACCGAAAGCCAGATGAGGGGACCTCGCGCATTTTAGGGATTTGGAGTGGGGTGTTGCGGGTCTCCTGCTATATTCTTCTGGGTCAGTGAATATAGCCTGGCTGGCTCTTGTACAGTAATGGGGGCGAGGGAATGGGGGCAGGGGACAGCTGATCAGCCCTCCCTGCCCCTGCCCACCACCTGATGACTTGCAGGGAGGGGGACCAGGATACCAACACCCCATCCTCCTGATTCCGGCTTCTTGGTCTCCCTCACCCCACCTGTGTCAGTACAATCTTTGCTCTGTACAATCGGCCTCTTTACACAATAAAACCCCCGTCCATGCCCTGCGTCTTTGTGCTTGGAGGGGAGGGGGTCAGGCCATGGCTCTTGTTTTCAGGGAAGCTGGGGACTCTGCCTCCCAGAATCAGGCCCCAGAGGGCCCTCGGTGCGCACCTGGGAACCAGCGTTTGTCACTTTCTTGGGTGGGGAAGTGGAGGGTTGGACGCCCCAGGCTGTGGCCCCCCCGAGAGAAACAGGAGAGACCACACAGGAGAGGCAAGGGGCCTGCCTCGCAGCCTCCTGCACGGCCCCCAGGCAGCCAGTGAGACAGCGCTGGGGGTCCAGCACCCAGCTGCAAGGGGTACAAGCCTGGCGTGCAGGGTCCGGGGCTGCCGTCCCTGCGCCTCACCCTGGGCCTCACCCTGGGCACAGTTCACTGTTTGCGCTGGGCTCAGGGAGATGGATGGGCTGTCAGTGCCTGCCCTCCCCACCCGATGGCTCAGAGGATCGGCAGGCCTGGGGTGAGCGGCTACAGAAAGTCACCGGGGGCTCCGTCCTGGGGAGAAGGTGTGCTGGCGAGGGGTGGGGGGATGCGAGAGCCCCGGCTCCTCTCTTCCCACCTCCTCCCATGCATCAGACAAGAGGAGGACCAGACAAACGGTTGAGACCCCTCATGGCCCAGAAATAGGATTGTCCCAGCCCTACAGCCCCGCCCAGGAGGACTGTCCCTTCCCACCATGTACACAGAGTGTCCTCTCTGTCCCCGGGAACAAATGCCACGAAGCCCGAATGTAATCGATCAAACAAACAGGGTTTATGTCAGCAGGAGAGAGCTGTTGACCCCTGCCTAGCAGCTAATTAACCAGCTCATTAGGAGACAGGGTGTGTGGGGAGAGAAGGGCAGGGCTGCCTGCCCAGCTGCGAGCTTCCGGATGTCCTGGGCTGAGCTTGGACCATGCAGGAGGCAGACCCCCAAGGCCTGGCCCGGTAGGGGTGCCCCTCCCCAAACTCCCCGGAATCATTTAGGGCTGGCCGTCCCCGAGAGTAGCTGTGTGGGCTTCCTGGGGCTGCGCTGATTGTGGTGGTGAGCAGGGGGCAGGTATGTGCTCAGTCCTGGGTGTGGGCCTTAACAGTTCAGTGTCCAGGTCCTGCTCTTGGCCTTGGGCTGCCGTGACCACCCACCCCAGAGAGGATCTGGGGAAGAGGAGGCTTTGGGGAATCCAGGCTGGTCTAGGTCCCCCTGGAATGGGGCATCTGGGTTACATTCTAACCCCAGCCTTGGCACTTCGGGGGTGTGCAGGGGGTGGGTTTTTTTGGGCACTCTCAGGCTCCCAAGTAGACCTCCACCAGCACCCCGACAGAGTGCATGCGGTAGAAGACCCCCAGAGGCAGGCCGAAGTTGACGATGGTGAACCATGTCCGGTAGCCATAGAAATCCTTTTCCAGCCCGTTCTCGAACTCCGGGTGTATGCCAAAAGCTGGCATCATCCACAGCTGGGGAGGAGAGGGGGTTGTTGAGTGGGGGAGGGGCTCTCCCATCCCCCAAGGCCCTCAGCTCACGGGAGGCCCCAGAACCTGCAGCTCCTGCGGCATACCCCCCACCCTAGCATCCCCTCACCCTTAGGCTTTCAGAACCAGCCCCTCTCCCCCTATATCCCCCTCACCGTATCCCACAGAAGGCCTCAGCCCCCTCCTTGGCCTGCCTGGGGCCAGTCTAAACTCCAGCTGGATCCCGAGACCCCAGGCTGCCACCACCATGGTACAACCTGCTCCACCTGGGCTCCCCTGGGCCCTCATTTCCATCACCTTTTTCTGCTCTGGGTTCATTCTTCCGCTGTTATGGCTCTCTGCCCGCTCCACCCCGACCCTGCCTCCTGTCCAAATTCTGCCCGTTTCTCAAGGCCGAGATCAAACTTTCACAAAGCCTTCCTTGGCCACCTGGGCCCACACTTCCTTCTCTGAGCTCCGACCACACTTTGGGGCCAATTTATTACTTATACTCTGTCTGGACCAGAGGTTTCACCCTCTGAGGTGTTTCCAGCACAGCTATTACCATCATGGGCTAAAACAACCTGGAGTTGTCCCGGGACTGCCACTTGCAGGCTTGTGGGAACACGGCAGGTCAAACAGCCTATGGCTCAGTTTGCTCATCTGTGAAATGGGGACAGTAATAGTGCCTGTTGCATGGAGCTGGTGTGATGATTCAGAGAGATGCACGGAAAGGTGGACTTGGAACTTAGCAGCCGCCGGGCCCCGAGCAGTCATTGTCAATACCTTCCCCTAGAGATTCTTTAGAAAAACAGGCACCTTCTGATCTCTTCCTTTGACTCAAGTCAGTGGACCATTAATTATTTGGTAATTCTCTAACTGGTCCCCCTGTGTCTCCTCAGCTAAGCTCCCCGAGGGTAGAAATCCTATATGTATGTTTGTAAATAGCACTTAGCTACATGCTTGGCACATTCATTCATGCCAGGCACCTTGCAGGGAGCTGGGGGACACTCCCTACTCTCAGGCAGCATCAAGCTAGTTGGAAAGGGGCCTGTGTCCTTGACAATCAAAGGGACAAGCCAGTCGCCCTCGGGACAGTCAATGCACAATCCCTTGATCCATCCCTTCCTGAGTGAGGATTTCTGGGGCCTCCTTGCCAGCTCCACCCCCATGCCTCCCAGCCCCGCCACTCACCGTGATGTTACAGAGGATGAGGAAGAGTGAGATCTCCTTGAGGGCCCGCCGCTTCCAGTTGAGGTGGCTGTAGGAGTGGATGTAGGCCAGCGAGGCCTGCCGCAGGTCCTGGCCCAGCTCCAGCAGGGAGCCCCTGCGGGGAGGCTCAGCCTCCCACTTCCCCGCCAGGCTCTCGGGAGCTGCCTCCCAGAGTGGGCGCCGGTGCAGGCCCTCGATGATGAAGAGGTTCTGGGCTATGTGCTGCAGGATGAGAAGCAGCGAATAGGCCAGGATGAGGTGGTTGAGTAGCTCGTGGGGGCGAGTGGCCACGATGGCCACGATAGAGAAGTAGGAGATGCCCATCTGGCCCAGCGCCGCGCCCATCAGCAGCACCACGTCCAGGCTGCGGGTGGGGTTCTTGAGCGTGTCTAGCTCTCGCTCCTCCAGCCCATGGATGGCCATGCCTGCCAGGCACGCCAGGCTCATAGTGGGCAGTGCGGCTGCATGGAAGCCGTAGTAGATGGTGAAGTACTGGCGCGCGATGGCAGGGCCACTTGCTTGGATCTGGAAGAGCACGAAGACGCACGTGCCTGCCACCAGGACCAGCAGGCCCAGCACCGGCCCTAAGATGGCCCCGTGCAGGTAGAAGGGCGGGGTGCCGGGGTGGGAGCCCGTGTGGGGTGTCAGGCGGCGGCCCACGTTCTTCCACATGACGAAGAGCATGCCACAGCAGATGAGGCAGTACTCGGTGCTGAAGGGGTAGAGCATCAGGTAGCCCTTCTGGAAGACCTCACACGCGGTGACGTTGAGGCACAGACAGGTGTTGGTGTTGTTGCCTGGGAGGGGGGGAAGGAGGGGAAAGACGTTCAGGTGGGCCTTGCTCTGAGGAAACCAGATGCACAAATCAATCTGTTCACCTCCTGGATTATGGCAGAGGCGGAAGGGACCCAGCCACCCATTTTACAGATGTGGAAACTGAGGCCAACAGAGAGAAGTCAGAAATCACAGGATGGTCATTCCTTTTTTTTTTTTTTTTTTTTTTGTGGGACCTTAGTTCCCCGACCAGGGATCGAATCCGTGCCCCCTGCAGTGGAAGCGTGGCGTCTTAACCACTGGACCACCAGGGAAGTCCCCAGGATGGTCATTCCTTGACAAAGGGATTCTAGACCTCAAGTGTCAAGCTTAGGTAAAGCATTTGACACATGATGTCTTTGGTGCCAAATGTCACCTCTACAGATTACTTGCTGAGCACAGGGGGAAGCCTGTAACCTTATACTGGGAGGATCTGGCTGACACACCACGACCATCAGCAGCGTCCACTGTGGGGCAGACATCTTGCCTTGTGATGAGGTGCCCTGCAGAGCGCACAGTATCCCCTGTGGAATGTTGGTGTCCAAAATGCTCAACCCAAATCTAATCAACACTTTGGTCCATACTTCCTGTTTCTAGGAAAAGCAGGGGATTTGGGAACAAGTCAAATGCCACCACGAGGAAGCAACCTGACAAATCTCAATGTCATTAGGGGAAAAGAGACTGAACTGAGCCACCAAATGTACTGCACGTTTGAACAAACCATCTTTAAAAGACATTTCATGGGCTGATTGGAGAAAGTCGAACATAGATTGATACAGAGGATGGGGATGAAGTTAAGGCATTTTGTTAGAAATTACAATGGTATTTGTGCTAATGTAGGGAACGATATGATTTTAAAGACGTGCATACTGAAATATCCTGAGATGAAATGCCAGTATTTCTGCAACGTAAGTAATTCAGCAAAAATATTGGAATGAATATGGCAAAACGTTAATAATTATTACATCTAGGTGATGGGTATGTCCTGTTCTTCTACTCATCTGTATGCTTGAATTGTTTAATAATAAACAATCCATGATGTCACTTGCCGAAAATTCTCTTTGCACAGGTCTTCTGAAAAATGGATCTGGAGCATAAAGAATGCCCAGGGTATACAGGCATGCTGAGATTTACGCAATGGATGTGTGAATGCATGAGTCTGCTGGGAAGGCTTGGCTGTACACAGGTCAGGATGGTGATGCCACCCGGGGCGGGGGGAGGTGTATACATACAGGTGTGGCTGAATCCCACAGATGGAAATGTTCCCATGTAGGTTTACGGGACATGGCCTCTAAGGGCAGACTGACAGGTAGGGCACTGGGTACATGGAACAATCCAGGGAGTTCTTTCTGCCCAGAAACCCTCTGTTCTTCCTTATATGTCCAGGTACCTACAACTGTGTTAGGAAGACATTCCTTTCAGTCTTGAAGGCTTTTTAGTTTCTTGCAAGTAAAATGCAAATACCAGGGGTAGAGTGCATACCTGGGCTTATCAGTGAATAGCTCAGCCAGGGTTAGTGGTTGGCTTACTGATAGCCAGATGGATGCCTGGAGCGGGCTTGCAGAGTGCCAGCACCTGATGGGGCAGGCCCAGAATGGGGGCAGGATGGGTACCATTGGCAGATGTCAGTTTCCGTTTCGTCGTGATCTGGTCTCTAGAGCTTTCTCCCAACTCTGCAGAGTCATTGAGCCTCACCTGTTGGAGGGAGTGTAGCGTGCACGCATGTGTGTGTGTGTGTGTGTGTGTGTGTGTGTGTGTGTGTACATGCAGCGATTGGGGGGCAGTCATGGTCTCCTCTGTACCTGAGAACGTTTCCATGAGGGCGCTGAGCTCAGTCTCGATCTCATGGTGCATGGAGTCGTTGGTGACGGCCAGAAGCCACAGCAGCAGATTCGTGGCCAGCGTCAGCATCAAGCCGCACCTGGAGGAGGTGCTACACTCTGCCACACAGCCTAGCCGGCTTCCCGGGTGCCCCATGTTCACCATCACTGCCTTTGGGGTGACTACTCTCTCCCAAAGCCAGATGCCATCTGCCATTAGAACTTCAGGAGGAGCAGCCCTAGGGGCTACCTGGGACCCATTCCCAGACTAACCGATAGCCCCAGGGCCACCCTGTCCAGGGAAGCTGTTGGGGGGCCAGCATGAGTGGGGGACAGGGGTATCCCAGGAGTTGTTGGAAGGAGAGAAGGTGCCCGCATCTTACCTAGTGAAGTTGGTCTGGATCTGAACGCAGTCCTTAGAGTGCTTCCAGAGCACCCAGGTCTGAAAGAGAAAGGGCCTTGAGCCCAGTGGCTAGGGGTGGGGCGAAGGTTGGTGGTGGGACTATGGGGCATGTGTTTCAGTTGCATGTGTGTATTTACAATGGAAGGGACAGTGAGGAAGCCTGGGTTGGATTTGTGGCTCCAGGGTTTCCTTGCTGTGTGGTCTTGGGCCAGTGGAAAAACATCTCTGAGCCTTAGTCTCCTTGGCTCTAAAATAGGACTAAAATGTCTATCAGGGGAATGCCTACTTATTGGGGCAATAAAAAGGATGATGCAAACAAAACACATAGCACAATGCCTACAGATCAGGAACTCAGGAGGGAGTTGCAGATTCATTAAGAGTAGCTCTGGGGACTTCCCTGGTGGCATTAAGAATCCACCTGCCAATGCAGGGGACACGGGTTTGAGCCCTGATCCAGGAGGATCCCACATGCTGCAGAGCAACTAAGCTTATACACCACAACTACTGAGCCTGCGCTCTAGAGCCTGCGAGCTGCAACTACTGAGCCCATGTGCCACAACTCCTGAAGCCCGCGCCCCTAGAGCTTGTGCTCTGCAACAAGAGAAGCCACCGCAATGAGAAGCCCGCACACCACAACAAAGAGCAGCCCCCGTTCACCGCAACTAGAGAAAGCCCGCGCGCAGCAACAAAGACCCAACGCAGCCCAAAATTAATTAATTAATTAATAAATAAATTAATTAAAAAACCTTCTTTAAAAAAAAAAAAAGAAGTAGCTCTGTAGGGCTTCCCTGGTGGTCCAGTGATTAAGACTCCATGCTTCCAATACAGGGGGCCCCTTGGTCGGGGAACTAAGATCCCACACGCCGCTCGACCAAAAATATAAATAAATAAATTGTATTTAAAAAAAAAAAAAAAAGGAGAGTAGCACAGTATATCCGGGGGTGTAGATTTAGGTACACACAGGTACGTACAGGCAAATGTACCTATAGGTGCCTGCGTTTCAGTGGCGCAGTGTGTGTGTGATGCTGACACATGTAGGTAGCATGGGTGCGGGCACACAGAGGCACGTGGAGGGGCGCTGTGGTGCGTGTGTACATACTCTGGGCCGTGTGGATATTTGCTGATGTGCCTGTTTCTAGGCATAGGCCGGGATGCGTACGCACGCGGCGAGGGGGTGCGAGAGGCGGGTCACCTGGATGCCGATAAAGATGATCTCGATGGCCGGGAAGACGAGCTCCAGCTGTGACTTACAGCGGATGTGGCTCATGCTGTAGCCCACGCGGAAGACGTTGAGGCAGATGCTGCAGCTACCAAAGAGCACCAGGGAGCCTGGCCGGGCCAGGGGGACGTTGGCACCTCCCCTGGAGAGAGCCCTCCCTCCCCACCCCTCTGCATCCACCCAGGCGCCCCGACACTCACCGCGCACCCAAGCGGGTCCCGCGTGCGGGTCCCGGTGGAGCACGGCTTGCGGCCGGCGGGTGGTCCTGGCGGTGTAGTAGAGAAGCCAAAGGAGGGCCAGGGCCTTCAGCGCCGCCAGCAGGATCCACACATCCCCCAGCGTGATGGCCACGTTGTTGAAGATCATGCTACAGATGAAGGCTCCGCCCAGGAACACCACGTTGAGGGCCAGGAGCCCCGAGAAGAGCTGCCCGGCCTTCTGGGCCTGCCGGTCCCGGCGCAGCAGCAGTGAGAAGTGCCGCACCAGCCAGGACCTGTTGAGGGGCGAGGCGGGGGCCCTTGTCTGCTCGGCCCCCGTGGCCACGTGGTTCTCCTTGGCCGGGGTCTCTCCAGTCTCCTGTGCTTCTGGAGAGGCCATGGGTGGAGCCTCAGGGGCTGGGGAGGGAGACAGGGTTCTGGTTGGCTGCCAAGCCGTCTTGGGCTCAATTCCGCTTCTCCCTCTAAGCGCTGTGGGACCTAGGCAAGCTAAGCAACCTCTCTGGTCAGGACGTTGGAAATGATAGCAGCTGCCCCATGTGCCTTACGGAACCCGAGAAGATTGAAACAGACCAGGGGATATGGAAGCCCTTTGTGCTCCATATAAACATAGGGTTTTTTTCGACTGGCTTGAGGACTGCCTTCCCCCCACCCCTACCCTCCTGCATCAGTGCTTGATCTTAAGGTGGAATAATGATGTCTGTCAAGGCAGCCAGGGGGATCTGCACAGTCCTTGGCCACTGGGCAGTTTCCAGGGCTGTGACTTTTCACCACCAAAACGCAGTTTGTGCCCTCTGTCTTCTGGAAGGAAATTCACTCCTCAAGTCAGGGAGAGCAAGTAGGTGTCCTCTCTTGTTCCGACTCTGATTAGTTGGGCAATCGTTGCCTAGAGTGTTGGGTTGAGAAGGATCCTGAGGCTGAGCGTGGGTTTGGTGGGAAAGAATGCTGTGATCTGAGATAATACTCTATTTTGCGTACATATGGGTGTATATAAAATTACTTTTTAAAGAAGTCGTTTTATTGAACTTGTTACAATATTGCTTCTGATTTACGTTTTTTGATCTTTGACTGCGGGGCATGTGGGATCTTAGCTCCCTGACCAGGGATCGAACCCACACCCTCTGCATTGGAAGGCAAAGTCTTAAGCACTGGACTGCCAGGGAAGTCCCTAAAATTACTTTTAAAACACCTAGAAGACACCCATCAAGTTCACAACAAGAGTTTCTTCTGGGGAAAGGAGGAGGGCAGTAGCATTGGGAGAGGTTTAATGTTCTAGTTTTTTTTTTTTTCTTAAAAAAAAAAATTACTGGGACTTCCCTGGTGGTGCAGTGGTTAAGAATCCGCCTGCCAATGCAGGGGACACGGGTTCGAGCCCTGGTCCAGGAAGATCCCACATGCCACAGAGCAACTAAGCCCATGTGCCACAACTACTGAGCCTGCGCTCTAGAGCCCGTGACCAACAACTACTGAGCCCACGTGCCACAACTACTGAAGCCCGAGTGCCTAGAGCCCGTGCTCCTCAACAAGAGAAGCCACCGCAATGAGAAGCCCGCGCACCGCAACAAAGAGTAGCCCCCGCTCGCCACAACTAGAGAAAGCCCACGTGCAGCAATGAAGACCCAACGCAGCCAAAAAACAAACAAACAAACAAACAAACATTACTTATGTAATTAAAGTTAATTCTAAAGCACATTAAAGGTTTAAGGAAAAAGTTCTGAGATTGAATGACAATGTCTGCCATGAGCATGGGACACGTTGGGATGAACATGAATGCCATGACCTTGACTTTCTTTTTTCTTTGGCTGTGACGCACAGCTTGTGGGATCTTAGTTCCCTGACCAGGGATTGAACCTGTGCCCTCGTCAGTGAAAGCGCAGAGTCCTAACCGCTGGACTGCCAGGGGAAGTCCCATACCCTTGACTTTGATAGAACTGACTTCCATCTGTACCCTCCCTCAACTCCTTGAAGTCTCATGAATGTACAGCTCAACATGGGGAACACCATCCTGACCCTTCTCTTTCCCTGAGTGTCTCCTGCTACTTTCTCACTTGCCCCAAGCTTTCATTCAGGCCGACCCCTTTGTTGCCCTTCACTTGGACCCAGATCTTGGGTCACCCCATACCTGCAGCTCAGGACCCCTTCCTGGAGTCCAGCACACTTCTCCCGTGGGCCCTTTGAGTACTCATAACGCTGCACTGGAGTGCAGAGATGCCCCCTGGTCTGGGTGCTGTCCTGGTGGGAAGGTTCCTTCACCACCCCCTGCTGTCCCAGGTGCTCTCCCTTGGTCCCGCTGCTGCCCTGGCATCCCTGGTGCTCTGGGCTCAGGGTCCTAGGGGCTCAGGGTCCTAGGTGCTCCCCCTTGTCCAGACTGCAGGAGGCCTGCTTTCTAATTCACTGTCTCAGCAAGCGGAGTCTCCATCCCCATGTCTCCCAGCAGGGAACCAAGTGTCTGCCTTGCCTCTCCCCTCATCCCTGTGCGTTCCAGCTCAAGGACTGCTCTGAGATTTTTCTTTACCACAAGCACTACCCTGGTCCACGGCTCCCTCTTCTCTCTCCTGGACTGGTCTCCCTACCCACTGCGCCTCTCCCCTACTTCCCCTGCAAAGGCAACCACTGTTCCCACTATAGAGTCCCAGCGATCTAGCACGGCCTGCCTGGCCTTTCAAAATGCAGCAAGGCAGCGCGTGGGCTTGGGGTGCACGAGGTGATCAAGGCAGGGTAGCCGCTGCTGCTTCCTGGTCTGGTCTTAACTTTCCTCTCCAGCCCTGTGTTCAGACCCCCACTCCCTTGCCCATGGACCATATGCCATCCTGATGCCTAGTTCCTAGACTGCCCCTGCTTTTACTCACTTCCCTGTCTTTGCCCACACCCTACCCTTTGCCCATGGTGCCCACCCACTGGCCCCTTGGATGACTGCGGTTGTGTCCTCAGGACTCAGTGGAGCCCCACCTCCTCTAGGAAGCCTTCCCTGAACCCCCTTGCCAAGGCTGGACTAGGTGCCCCTCTTGGTACCCCCACTGCACCCATGCTTGTTGCTGAAGCATCACCTACCATGCTCTATTTTATGTTATGTTTTTTAAGTTTACTTCTTTTTTAATTAATTAATTAGGCTGCGCTGGGTCCTTTTTTTTTTTTTTTTAAATTGCGGCACGCAAACTCTTAGTTGCGGCACGTGGGATCTAGTTCCCTGACCAGGGATCGAACCTGGGTTCCCTGAATTCGGAGTGCGAAGCCTTAGCCACTGGACCACCAGGGAAGTCCCATATCATGCTCTATTTTATTTATTTATTTTTTAAATTTTTTAATTTAATTTTTTTTATACAGCAGGTTCTTATTAGTCATCAATTTTATACACATCAGTGTTCATGCTCTATTTTAATTAGCTGTGCTTTGCTCTGTGTCTCCCTTTGGACTCTGACCTTTAGATTATCCCCCTGTGTAACTACCAGAAGACCCTCAGCACACGTGGCTCTAAAATGCAGCTTCTTCAGGCCCCCATTCTCCAATGTGCAACCTGCCCAATATTTATACCTCCTAAGGTCCTCTTCTGGGGCAAATAGAATAATAAAACTTGGTACTCTTTTAAAGATTCTACCAATGATTCCCCCCTTCCCAGTCTTCCACATCATTCTTGCTCCAGTTCTGTCCCCTCCTTGTCCAGCCCCCTTGTCACACTCTAGGCACCTCCTCCCCACATTCATCCAGGCCCGGCCAGAGTACTCCCCATGTCTCATGTAGCCTCGTGCCCCCCCCCCCCGTCCCTCCTGCAGCCTGTTCTTCCTTCTGCCTCTCCCGCTACCCTCCACCAACGGCTCTTGCCCATCCTCACCACCCATCTTAAGCACTTCTCCTGGGAAGACTTCTCCCTTTGCCCAAACATCTATCGAGAGCGGGTGTACACTGCTGTGGGTGTGCCTGGTGGGCAGCGACCAGCTCCTGCTTACCTCATCCCCCACATATGGCACAGGGAGGACACTGAACCAATATTAGCTGACTGACTCTGGCATTTTCTGGGGACATTTCAGCACCAGAGTCATGGACAGAAACCCTTCCCATCAAACCCTTTGCATCCATCCCGGCCCAGTGGAGGCGACTTTCCAGATGATCTTGGTCTTTCTTCCCAGGCTCCCCCACCCAGGTTGAGCACATCTGAAGCTTACAGGGACACCTCCCTGCTCCTTTTCTCCCAGACCTGACTGCCCCATCTCGCCTTCCCAGAACCTACCCCAAGGCAGGAGGATAGCCTAGTGCCGAATCCTGGCACTTACTACCTGTGTGATCTTGGTCAAGCTACTTAGACTCTCCGTGCCTCAGTTTCCTCATCTGTAAACAGATACACGACTATGGAATAGTACCCGTTACATAGTAGATGTTCAATAAAGATGTTACAAAGTAGATGTTCAATAAAGATTTCTTGAATGAATAAATGAAGGAATTAAGGCATAATACCTACCTGATGGGGATTTTTCAAAATTAAATGATTTAACACATGTAAATGCATGTAGAGACATGCCTGGCATAGAGAATGCTGTCAGTGTTAGCTGTTTATGCATTTCCTTCCTGTTCTGTCCAGGTCCTGGAGAGGCCGGAACGGTCGGGATTATTGGTGAATGACAGGGGCAGGTTTTGATTGGACTGCAGGCCTAGAGAGGACCCTGGAGGACAAGGTCCTGTCCTCCAGGGTCCTCACCTTCACTATCTTCCCCGCCCCCACCCCCAGGGTCCAACCCTCCCTCGGCCGCTAGAGGGAGCGCTCAAAGTGGAGGATAGGATCCTCCGCTGGGGAGGGTGTGGGGATGGGCAAGCAGGGGTCGCGGGAAGAGGGTGAGGGCTCCCTGACTGACAAGGAGGAATCCACCATCCTCTGGCTCGCCCCTCCGCGCGACGCCAGTTCACGGGAGGGCCCGGACACCAAACTGGTTTGTGGGTCGCGATTAGAGCCAGTGATGAAAGCTGCAGAGCCGTCGGGGCGCGGCGCCTGGCCGGATCCGACGGATGCTGCTAAGCACTGGTCGCAGAGCTACGGGATTTCTTTCCGAGCTACTCGAGGGACTGCGAGGCCTAGGACAGGCACCACACGGGTGCCTCTGACTGGGCATCCCGGCAACCCAGCCCCACACCCCTTTTTCCAGCCGTCCGGGCTTTTAGCTTCTTCCCGGCTTCGGCGTTCTCTTTCCGCTGTGCGCGCTCGGACCCGGCTAAGGCGGGGGGGGGGGGTGCCCTGCTGACCCCTGCGCGCCCCCCGCCCGCGGAAAGGAGACGGGGTGCAGAGCCGGGGTGGGGGCAGAGGGGGGCCGCCGTTCGGGTCACCAAGGGTTGACCTTCCTCCCGTCATCTCGCCCTCCCGCCCCAGTCCCTGCAGCCCCCGGTCTCTGACCCTCGCTTTGGGAGCGGAGTAGGTGTGAGTGTCGAGGATGGGCTCTCGGGAATGTTCCTCCAGGGGTCAGAGGGCGCTCCCGGACGTAACGGCGCCGCCGGGGAGCCTTACCTGAGGCCTGGGCAGGCATCGCCGCCGGCTGACCACCGCAGCGCGGATCGTCTGTCCGGGTGAGGCTCCTGCGCCGGACCAATGCCTCCGACGCCCTCCCTCCGCGGGACTGCGCAGCCGCCTCTCGGGCTCCGCGGCCCATTGATTTTTCTGTTGACTTTGGGGCTCTCATTAATCAATCCTTCGTTAATTGCCCTGCCGGGGGCTCCCCGGACAGCTCAGCCAATAACGAGGCGGCTGGACAGGCGGGCGGGGCCGGAGGCGGTGCATGCGCGGGGCTCTGGGTCAGGGGACCCACGAGCAGGCCCGCTTCCGGGGTAGGTCGGGGTGCAATGTCCTTAGGCCGCAACAGAGGCCGTGTAGGGTTCAGGCCACACTTGCCTCTGGCGGCCCAGCAGGGAATGGACCCTCCCCCACAGATCCGGGGTCACCTTCTCTTGTACCCCATGTAGCACCAGACCCAGCCCTGACGCAAGCTCTCTCTCCCTAAGGCAAACGTGAACTTGGGGCGAAAGAGACCCGGTTCTGACACGGCAGGAGGCGCCCCCTGCGGCCCTCCTCAGCTCTTCCTGCAGCCTCTGAGACCTGCCCACCTCATCGTGCTGGTGGGGTCCTGGCACGTTTTCCTCTAAAGTGCCCTGGGCCCCAGGTGCGGCTGCTCCCCCTCTCCCGCACAAAAGCCATCTCCTACCACCCCAGTCCCCACCCCAGCCTGTCCCCCTTCACCTGACTCGCTGGCCACCAGTTCCGCCTCCTCTTCTAGCTGTTGGTGCCTCCTTTTCAACCTCTCTGCACCGTCTGACTTCCTCAGTCTCTCTGAGTCCATCTCTATATCCCCCCTCCCCACCTTCTTTTGGATCAAGCCATTTTATTGAGGGGCTTCGGAGACGGTCGAAGGCCTGGGAAAACAGTGAGATCCCACACCCTCTGCCCTGCCAGGACCTCCCCAGCTTCACAGTTGCCCCGTCTCTATATCTCTTGTAGAGTAGAAGCCAGAGGGATTTGGAGAGGAGCCTCAGGGACTGCAGGGAGTGGGGTTGTGGGTAAGAGGACGCCCAGGGGGTGAGAATCTGTGCCACTCAAGCCCTGTTTAGCTATAACAGCCCTGTTATAAATTATGTTATAACAGCCTATGAATTGAAGTTGCATTCCTGAAATGTTTCATTTGAGGGGAAAACAAAAGTTCTGATGCATGAAAAAGTTTGAAAATTATCATTCTTAGTAGAAAGGCACTGGCTCCCTTTTGCTGTGTGACTGTGGGCAAGTCACTTTACCTCTCTGGGCCTCAGTTTTCTTCTTTGTAAAATTGTAGTTGGATTAGGTGAGTCCTTCCTAACATTTCATGTGTCATGGAACACATTAAAAAATGTATATGTCACTTGAAGATAAGGCAAAGAGGAAGGTGGCAGCCTGGGTACTCCACCCAGCCCCTCCCAGCCACCCAGGTACGAGTCTGTAACTAGTGTGTGACTCAGACTTGGCTCACCCACAGAAAAGCCTGAGAGCTGAATATCTCCAGGGGCCCTTGCAGCTCCGACCCCAAGACCCCGTCCTGTGATCATCTTAGATGTGGCTGCTGAGACACGAAGTGGGCACAGGGTGGGGCAGGGAGAACAGCAGGTTTATTGTTTTCCAGCTCCAGGCAGCAGCATTGGCCAGGACACGGGGCGGGGGTAGGGGTGGAGCTAGAGGCTAGGACACTTCCAGATCTTGCCTGGTCCTAGAAAGGGTGCAGGGAGAGGTCCTCCTCCCCCCGCTTGCCCCATGCCCCAGGGATATGCATGTCCTGATTGTGATTTAAAAACTCATCCTGGAAAAATAACTTTTGTGAAAATTCCACTCTGAGGCCGGCGGGGGAATGGGTAGTTATGTGGCCTAGTGACTGCCGGTCTGGGATTCATTCCCCGGGGCTCTCTGGGTGGGTGCATGAGCTGAGCCCCTCCTCCCCATGGCTCTAGTGGGGCTTCAGGACAGCATGTAGACCTCCAGCAGGCTGGAGGCAGCATGCATGCGGTAGAAGATGCCGAAGGGCAGGCAGATGTTGACGATGGCTGCCCAGAGGGAGTAGCCATAGAAGTCCACCTCCACGGTGTTGCTGAAGTGGGGGCGGGCCCCGAAGGCGGGCATGATCCACAGCTGTGGGGACAAAGGGGTGTCAGAACCTGGCCCGGACTCGTGCCAGTGGGTCATTCCGTGAGCTTTGCTGGGTGGGGTGGGGGCAGGATGGGGGTCCCAGCCCTCTGGTTTTGTGGACAGCGAGGGCTGGGTGTTGCTGAGTGGGGACCTCGAGCATCTTGGGCGGGGCCTGGCACTCACTAAGGAGCTCAGTAAATGTGCCCAACTGAACTTGCCTGCCCCCCAGCCTAGGGCTCCGCCTGTGATCACGTCTCCCACCCTCAGTACGGCCCACGTGTGGGACTGGGGAAGGGGAGAAGAAGTCTCAATAGATGCTGTGAGAATTTGGAATAAATGGCTAAATCGGTAGCTCTCTCCTGGAGAGATGTGTGCGGGGTGGTGATGGTAAAATCAGACAGGCCCAGGGCAGGGGTTCAGGATCCTGCCGGAAGGCTCCCCCAGCCCTGCCCGCCATGAGCTCTGCTCTCCAGCTCTGGCCCCGCACCCCACCCCCTTCCCAGGTCTGGGAGGCGGTTGAAGCTGGAATCCTGCTTCATCCCTGGCTATGAGCTCAGATAGTTCACGTATGGGGTGTGAGGCAAAGAATAAAGGCTTCTAGGTTAACCCTCCTTCTCCCCACCGCAAATGTTTCACATCCTTGGACACATCACAGCCCAAATCTGAGCCTGCTTCTATCCTATAAAATGAAGGAGTTGGAGATGATGCCCTCAGAGCTGATCCAGGCTCAGATACCTGGAGCAAAAGCGGCCTCCCAGGTGACTCCCCGCCTGTAGGCTCGGCCTTGGGAGAAGGTGAGTGGGGGCGGAGGCTGGGAGCCACACCAAAGGTGGCCCAAGACAGGAGGAGGTTTTGAGCTTTATTGCTTCTACTGGTAGGTCAGAGATGGATGACTACTCTTTTTTTTTACCTGTAGGAGGGGCAATATTGGCAGTGGGGACTTCAAGAATGCACCTCAATTTGGGCGTGTATTTCATGTAGACCCACTGGGGTGGAATCCCTCTGGAGATGTGTTCTATATTGGGATATACCCACATTAAGGCTGTTTTCTATATTAGGGGTATTTTCTATCAGAGGTTATAGCTAAAAGGACTGTCTTTACTTTGAGCAAAACTTCATTAAGGTGTGCTCTCTCTTGGGGATGTACTCACAGGGGTCCATGTTTCTCTGTTAGAGATTTCCCTCCTGGGGATTATATCTACACTGGGGCCTTTCTCTATTAGGTTGGAGCTACACTAGGAGTATTTCTCTGTTGGGATGCACCTTCACAAAGAGTGTTCTCGTACAGGATGTATATTTGTATCGGGTGAAGTCTGCTGCTATACAGAGGAGTTTCTCTTGGAAAGCGGCTTTGCTGAGTTGCCGCGGAGGGGGCGACTGTTGTGGCTGCCCCCCTCCCGGCCAGCCTGCCGCTCTGCTGACAGACCCCTCACGCTCATGCTGGCCTCTGCCACCTCCTGTCGCTGCTGCGATTATTCTAAGAAGCAGGTTGGTCACAAGGTCCCGGGAAGAGTCACACCTCCCACCTGGGAGCAAGGGCCCCCCACTCAGCTCCGTCTCACCTCCTCCCAGCCCTCACACCAGCATCCCCTAAGACCCCTCCAGCTCTGCCTAGATGCCAGAATGCCGGGATCTCATTCTCCCTGTGCGCCCTGAGATGCTGTTCGCCCCCGGGGCTGCACCTGACTCTCCCTGAACCTGCTCCTTTCCTAGAGAGCCAGACGATGCTCGAGTGGGCTGGGGGCCAGACAGAGAGGGCCAAGTGAACAAACCTGAAAGAGCATCTTTCCTCGGCCTTCTCTTCCTCCCAGCCCACCCCTGTCTCTCCCCAGTTACTCACGATGATGTTGCAGAGCAGGAGAAACAGAGAAATGTCCTTCAAGCACCGGTATCTCCAGTGGCCCCTGGGGGCCAAGGTGATGCTCACTGCTCCCTGAGGTCCTGCTGGGCTGGGGCCAACCAGCCTGGGTGTGGGTGGGCAGGCAGGCAAGGTGTGGAGGGTGTCCAGGCTGGCAAAGGTGAGGCCGTGGCAGGGCTCCTTGGGGGGAGTACCATGAGGCTCAGCCCCGGGGGGAACCCGGTGGAGGCTCTCAATGATGAAAACGTTCTGGAAGGTGTGCTGGGCGATCATGAGCAGAGCGTGGGCCAGGCTGAGCCCCGCCAGCAGCTCCCTGGGTGTGCCCGCCACTGCAGCCACGATAGAGTAGTAGGAGATGGCGTACTGGCCCAGGGCGGCACCCACCAGCAGAGCCATGTCCAGGCTGCGCGTGGGGTTCTTACGGTGGTCCATGGCCCGGCGGTCAAAACGGTAGATGACTGAGCCACTCAGGCTGACCAAGGTCATGAGCCCCAGACAGACGATGTTGAAGATGTAGTACATGACCAGAGCCTGCTGGGTGCGGCCCCTCTCCCCACTCACTTGGACCTCGTAGATGATGAAGACGGCCAGCCCCACGACGAAAAGCATCAGGCCCAGGATCGGGCCGGCAAAAAAGGTCTCCCGGAAGAGGCTGAGCAGGGATGGGGTGTGGCTGTGGCCGCGGGTAGAGGAGGCCAGCAGCCTGCCCACGTTCTTCCACATGACGTAGAGCATGGTGGAAGCAAAGAGGCTGTACTCGATGTTGAAGGGGTACAGGTAGAAGTAGCCCTGCTGGAAGATCTGGCAGATGGCCGTGTTGCAGGAGCAGTCTTCTCCGACTGGGCTGCCCGCACGCTCCACTGTGGAGAGGGGGGCGCGGAGCTGCACTGCCCTCCCACCTTCCTGGAGGCCCCCACCTGAAGAACCTCACCCCTAGACTGTGACCTTTGGAAGGGCAGGGTTGCTATCCGTTACCACCGTATTCCAAATGCCTACACAGGGCCTGGCACGTCCGTTCATGCCACAGATATTTATTGAGCACCTACTACATGCCAGAAACTGTGGGACACACCAGTAAACCCTAGCCAGGGCTCGATTAAGAAAAAAAAAATTCTGAGCCGCAGAGTTGCCCGCTTCATCCTGTCCCATTCCTGCAGAAAAACACTCCCAACCCTTCCCCACCAGTAATGACCCCTGGCTGCCCAAGATAGGCAAGCCTCTGGTCCTAATAGAAGGTGGCCCGCTTGGAAGCCCCTAAAATTCAAGCTGCCTCGCAGCTCTTGCCAGCACCCGCTTCAGCCAGAAAGCAGCGGCTGTGCCCAGGTCTCGACCGTGACCTGCTGTCGCTTCGGCTTGTACCACACTGATAGGAATCTCATCCTGCATCCAGCGTGCGCTCTGCTCTGCAGGATCCCTCGGGCCTCGGCAGACAGCTCTTCTGATCCCCAGAACTATCTCAGCTGGTTTTGCAGAAGAAGGAACTGAGGCTCACTCAGAGAAAGTGGCTTGTGATGGCAGAGCTGACACCAATGACGTGACTCTCACCCCTGAGGCAGGTACCTCTCTGCACCCTGCAGCCCTAGCACGTAAGGTCGCCCACCTCCCTGGGCTGGGTTTAACCATCCTCAGGACCCCTCTGTATGTGGAGAGTGGCCCTTTTCAGTCCTGCTGGGCTGGGATCTCCTGTAGGCCTGGATCCATGCTTTCCATTCCTGGACCCTCCCATACTGGCTGTGCGTGTGTATTCAGGCAAGGTCCAGGTGGACTTGGTCATCTAGTCTGATCCTGGCTGGTGGCGGGGGGCGAGGGGGGGGCTAGAGAAGTCCAGAGAACCAGGACCAGGGGGACTGTGGGCTCATTCTTCTTAAGTATAGCATATTGGTTCAAAGCAAAGATGGATCTCAACCCTAGTTCTCCAATTTCAAGCTCTGTGACCTTGGGTAAGCTACTTAGCCTCTCTATGCCTTAGTTTCTGCATCCATAACATGGGAATGCTAATAGTGCCCATCTCACAGGGAGGTTGCTAGGGTTAAGTAAGATGGTGCTTAAGACAACTGGCACAGTGCCTGACATATAGAGCTCAGAGAATTGTCACTATCGTCACTGCGATTATTACTTCTACATTCTCCTCCTTGTCAGGCACTCCCTTCTGATCCCATGCTTCCACCATTGAGCCACCCTGCCTCCCTTCCCCTCTTTCTACCTTGATCACTCTTGCCCTTTCTTCCTGGAGCATGAATCCCTTCTTTGGTGGGACGGAGACCTGGACAGTGGGACCAAGGCTGTACTGTCCAGGATGAAAAAATGCTCCCCTGTACTCTTCCTCCTGGGTCACCCACATCTAAACTTCTTCAGAGGCATAGCCTGGGGCAGCCACCTTTGCCTCCACGCCCTCTACGAGTCCACAAAGCACCCAGCCCGAGGCCTGGCTGCCACGGGACCAGGGTGAATCTGAAGTGGGCACTCACATTCCAGAGCGAGGCGGGTATGGCTGGTGTTGCCGTGAGGACTGCTGAGGGAATGGGCCTGGTGAACCGATTCATCCACCACGGCTGCCATCCAGATGGCCAGGTTGGTGGTGAGCGTGAACATGAGACCACATCTGTTTGGGGAGGGAGAGCAAAGAGGCCAGTGAGAGTCTGTGGCTCACGTTGGGTCCCCGGCGTGGTGGAGAGCTGGGGATGCTGTCCTGGGAGATGGTGCTGAGAAGCAAGAAAGTAGGCAGACCCCTGTGTGAACAGGGAAGCTGAGTTTGGAAGGAACACTTAGCCTGGCTGAGATGCCTCCCAAAAGAGGGCTGGGGGTGTCGTGGGGTTCAGGCCACGGCTGCTCCCTCTCTTTGGGGAAAGGACATTTGTACATTACACACGCCATCTCACCAAGCACGTCCCCCGTACCCCCAGCAGAGGGTGGTGGAAATCAGGCTGACAAAGCCAGGGGGCCTTGGCTGAAACCCCACCTGGGGGCAGAAAGAGGACCCATGCCCCAGGTTGGGAAGCGCTCATCTCATGCCAGGTGAGCCCAGCCCCTGTGCATGGACATTGAGCCCTGGGCATGGAGCAGGCACTCACCGAGTCAGGTCCAGGTGGCTGTGAACACAGTCTTTAGCGGAGATGCAGAGAAAGTAAGTCTGTGTTGAGAGAGAGTGGTGGGGTCATCTACTCTGCAGACGGGCTCAGCCCGGAGTGCCCAGGTCCATGCCCGGCACTATGTGCTTACCACCTCAAGAGCCCTCCTACTACATGATCGAGTTTCTTTCAGCTTTACAAAGGGAGACGTGAGCTTTTCTCTCTTTCTATTCTCTGGAGCGATTTGTACAAAATAGCTCTCTGTTCTTTAGAAGTTTGCAAAATGCCACCTGTAAACTCTCTGGGCTTGGTGTTTGTTTTCTGTTTCTTTGTAGGGTGGAGTTTTGACTGCCTAGTTATTTATTCCTGGGAGCGAGGCCAGCCTCAGAAAGAACCTAAGCGGCCTCGCAGCTCTCTCTGGCACTGTCCCTGCCTCATCCCCATCCTTTGCCTCCCTGCAAGTCCTTGCTCTCACCTGGCTGGCCACAAACCCTTGCTGCGGTGTTTATTGATGTTGGGGTGTCTGTATTTCCATTTTGCCTGAGTATTCTTTAAAGTCAGAAAATGTAAAATTAAAACTATATAAATGCCAAAGTCATAAACGTGTTAAATTGTGGAAACCTGGGCAGTAGGGATGATGTTTCAAGAGAGGGAACCATACACATGGTCATTCTGGGCTGGGGAGGGTTTGGGTCCCACGTTAAGACCAGTCCTGCCTCAGCTCAATCAGAAGATCTTTTCCAGTGTTATTCGTGCAAGAAATAAAAAAGTGAGCTTGTTTGAAAAATCCCATATACAGGATACCCTATTTCCTGAAAAAATACAGAATAGAGGGGACATGGCTGAGGCCCAACTGGCCGTGCCCACAGCAGGACGTTGAGCTGAGACTGATGCCCTCTATGGGCACCCAAGGAGGGCAGGGCAGGTTCCAGGAGACAGAGCAGCTGCTACAACTGACACCTCCTAGGTGTTAACTACTGGCACAGCTTAAGGTGAAATGAAATCGCAGGGCCCCTAAGTAGGCACTCACATTTGGATATTACTTCATTACCAAGTGCTTCCAGATTTATGGACTCATGTGATCTGCACTACAGTCCTATCCCCACCCTAATCGATTGCTCAGCGTGGAAGTGGAGTGGAGCTCAGATCTCCTGACTCCATGCCACATGTTGGCTCTTTTCCACCACACTCAGGGACACTCCTCCCACCCACCTGCACAATGACAAACACAGCCTGGGTGAGAGGGTACAGGATCTTGATGGCTGACTGGCACTCAAAGGAACTGGAGTAGTAGCCGGTCTTGAAGACATCCATGACGAGGGTGCAGATCCCAAACAGCACCAGCCCACCTGGGAATGAGGGTGGGGGGTGGGTCAGAGAGGCAGGAGAAAATGGTTACACATTTGAGGATGGATGAGGACGGATGGTCAAATAGTTGGGTGATTGGGTGGATGGATGGATGAATAGGGTAAGTGAGAAGATGGATGGAAGGATGGGTGTGTGATTGAGTGGGTAGATGGATGGATGTCCTATTGAGCCCCCATCCCTTTGGGGCTGCATAGATAAGGGAAAGGACCCTAGAGAGGCTCTTTCAACTGCAGCTGTCATCTGTTTTCTGCTCTCCATCAAAGTCTCTTCCATGGCCACCCTCTTTCAATCTTTAGAAAGGGCAGAGAAGTTCCACTCCATCCCTCTCTTCATCCCTCTTCCAGGACTCTTTCCCTTGCTCTTCTGCCTCAGTCACAGCCCACCTCACCCTCAGACACATCTAGCCTTGGGGCGTGGGGACTTCTCACCGGTCTACCTCGAAGGGCACCCAGCAATTCCTGCGGGAGCCCCAGCCTCCAGCTCCCCGCCTGGGCCACCCCACCTCCGCCCACACCTCCCCTGGCACCTCGGAGCCAGATGGGGCCCGCGTGCGCGTCCCGGTAGGGGACGGCGTCGGTGTCGGGGCAGCGCACGGTGCGAAGGAGGTAGAAGAGGATCCAGAGCACGGCCAGCAGCATCATGGTGGTGAGCAGGGCGAACACGTCGGTGTCGTACACCGCCACCTTGTTGAAGGCGCCGCCGCTGACAAACGTGCCGGCGAGGAGCAGCACGTTCACGGCCAGCAGAACGGACAGCAGGCGGCCGCCCTTCTTCCACACCTCGCGGGGGGCTGCCCGCGGTGCCGGCGGGCTCTCCTTGGGGCCCGTGGGCAGCTCCTCGGACATGGCAGAGGCGACTGGAGGAGGTTGGAGGGGTCACTGTCGGGGTGGAGCGGACAGGACCCCAGGTCAGCCTCGAGAGCTCTCCTTCCTCCATCTTATCCCTAGATTTGGGGACCCGGGGGGCGGGGGCTGCGGGGGGTGAAGGAAGCGCTGGGAAGGGGGAGAGAAAAGCCCACTGTGCCGGTCTCGCGCTCGACGGGAGGAAAAGAGAAGCGGCTGCAGCCCCGTCGGACCCCGTCCAAGGTTCCCACTCCCCAAATCCGTCGGCCGGCTAGCCAGGGGCACCCACCTGGCTGGGCCGGGAGCCCGCGCTGAGCTGGGGGTCAGGGGGCGGCGAGTGTGTCCTCTCTCTAACGCCGGGATGGACGGGCGCTTTATACCGGGGAGGGCAGGGTGATTTACAGCCGCGGGAGCTCAGCTCCATAAACCTCTCAGTCCCACTCACATGATCCATCTTTTTCCCGGGCTGAATTTAGTGAAGAGCATGCGGAGGCAGACAAGGTGTGATTTATATTTACCCGTTAAGAGGCGCCCCCTCCCCCGCCGCCTTGTCACCTCGGCGCAGCCAGCCTCGGGCGCGGCCCGGCACTGCGGCACCCAGCGGGCACCCCGCCCCCGGCGCCCAGCGCGCCCTGGCGCCCCTGTCTCCTGACGCCCAGAGCCCTGAGAGCTGACGCTCAGCAAACGCCCCAAGGTCCTTTAGGGACCCCGACGCCCTCACGCCCCGCGGCCCTGTACCTTTGGGCTCTTCTGTTGCTGCCCCAAGATCGGGACCCTACCGCCCCTTCCCCGACACCCTCACAGTGATCGAAGTTCCCTCTTCCTCTCTCCCTTCCCCTGGTCCCTGCTGCGCGGGATGCTGCCGAGTCGGACTTGCGTACGAAGTTCTCGGCCAGTCTTGTAGCGCCTCCTGCTGGACCGCGGCTGGCCCACCTCGCGCGAAACTGTGGCCGCCGGGACGGCCGTGTCCCGATCGCTGACGGTCTGGCGGTCGGTCCTCATAACTCTCTTAGGCCCATTGTCCAAGGGGTCAGGACTGCCCTCAGACATCCCTTCCCAGCCCTTGGCCCGTTCCCTTGACGCTTAGAGACTTCGGGGGCCGCAGCGCCGCGGCACTAGTGAAGACAGACCTCGGACTGTCCCCAGACTGGGCCTCACGGGGCGGGACGCTGGGGTGAGCAGCGTTTTGGAGAGAGGCCGGGCCCGGTTTGCTCGGGAGCAGGGAGTTTAGGACCCAGGGGCAGCCCGGGGCGGCCCTCTGGGCAGCGGGAGATCCTCCCCCCACCTTCCCCGCCCGCCGAGCGGCTCAGATGTCCGAGTAGCGGCGGCTCTGGCGCTCCGCATCTTCTGTTTTCGGCGGCGGGCGCTGGCGGCCCCGGCCCCTGCCCGACCCCCTCCCCCAACCCCATGCCTCAGCTCTAACCCCGCCGCCCTCCCCCGCGGGGGGCATTTCCCCGTGTCCCCTGCCCGTCCCATCCAAGTCAGGCGCCATGAACGACCAGTACCACCGGGCGGCTCGGGACGGCTACCTGGAACTTCTCAAGGAGGCCACCAGGAAGGAGCTGAACGCCCCTGACGAGGATGGCATGACCCCCACCCTCTGGGCTGCTTACCACGGCAACCTGGAGTCACTGCGCCTCATCGTGAGTCGAGGGTGAGTATCCCACTGTCCCCGCCCAAGCCCCGCCTGGGAGGACTGAGAGTCTCAGGGCCGCTCTAGGCCCCTGAGACACCCCCTCTCAACTCCATGGCATCTCCCCCCCCCCACCTCCGCTGTGCCACCCTCTTCCCTAGGACAGACCCTAAGGTGGAACCTTGGAGATTGACAGTCGTGGGAGGAGGAAACAAACTGAGGCCTGTGACATTTGTGACCTGGATGCGGGGCTAGGAGGAGAGGGACTGGGACTTGGGGGTCCATGGCTGTGGGAGGGGTTTCAGAGTGAGGAGAAGGTGGGAGGGATCTCCTGGGTGGGTAGCACCAGGAAGCAAGAGTGAAGGGCGTAGTGAGACTGGGAGAGAAAGAGCAGAAGCCTTAGAGGGGCCGGAAGGGGGGCTGGGAAAGGAGAAGCTCTTCACTGCCCACCCCCAGCCTGTGGTCCAAGGGGTCCAGCCGGCGCCCACACCTCCCCACACACTGGATTCCACACAGCTCTCTCCCTGCTCATCCCTGAGACTTGTGGGCACTGTCCACAGTGCCAAGTGTCACTCGGTTCAGCCACCCCATGAACTCCCTCTGTGCCCCTCCCCCACCACGGGCTCCATCACCCTCCCTTTGGAGTTGTCTGGGGGGAGGAGTGGGCATTGAATCCAGGTGTCAGGGCCAGGGAAGGGGTTAGGAAGTAGCAGTTGAGGAATGTGGCGTCCAGGGCCACTGACATGGGCTCCCTACGGCTGAATGACCCTGTGGACAATTTGCCAGCCCCAGCGGTTTAATAAAGAGAAGTCAGGTTGACCTGGGGACCAGGGAGGCCTGGACAAGGAAAAGGGATGTACGAGATGCCCCAGGAGGGTTAACATGAACATCTCAGGCCCTGGGAAATCCTGGTGGAGGGAAAGGGGCCCGGCTGGCCTGGTGCCAGGAGCTGACCTGTGGTTTGAGCATGGGGTAGGTGGGGAACCCCCCTTTGCCCTCCCTCCACAGCTGCTCCCCGGGCCCAGCAACAGGTGGACGCAGCCCCTAAGATCAGGCAGCTGAACCATGTTCCAAGACGCCGAGGCTGGCCCCTGTCCATGCGAAGAGGGCACACAGTGATCTGCCATTCTGCTCCCCCCCGGAGAGATTCGTGGGAGGAGGGGACTAGGGGGCCCCCCCTTGATGCACCAATCCCCCAGCTCCTACAGAGGGTGAGGGTTGGTGCTTGATGGAGTGTGGGCCAGATGCCCAGTAGCTCCTGTCTAGAAGGACTTGAAGACCAGTAAGGGAAGTGGGGAGGGGAATGCGGGGGGTTGGGGACTGGGGATTGTGGGCAGGAGCTGCTGAGACAATGAAGTGATTCTTCCTTCAGCCCTGCGGGGTGGCCCCCTCATTAGAGTGGGGCAGAGGGCCTGAGCTAGGTCCCTGAGGGAGGCGCAAGCTTGGAGGAGCCACGGGGAGGGTGCCCAAGGGGGGCACAGTCTGGCGCGGAGGGTGTTGGAGGGGGCTGCGTGGGTCCCTTGGACCTGCCCGAGCCAGCCGCCTCACAGCGCTCCCGAAGATGGGGCCGCCCCGGGAGGGGAGGGCAGCTGGGCCCAGGCTGCAGGCTGCCCTTCCCCTCCCCTCCAGTCCTGGCTGCCCCCATGCTCCCCTCCTGGCCCAGGCCAAGACCCGACACCTGCTCTCACACGCGGCCTTGCCAGGCCTGGCCCCGCTCCCTGCAGACGTGGCCGTGCCCGGCGACACGCAGGCACGCACCCTCCACACTCCCCCAGGGCTCAGGCCCAGCACACACGACCCTCTCGTCCTCTTTTTCGGTCACTCCTGCACTGGCAGCCCCACTCACCGCCGTGCCTGCCTAGAGACCCAGACTCGGCCCTGGCCCACCACCTCTCTGGGCCAGCTCCCCGCCGGGCTCCATGAATAATTCACTCCTTTCTCTCTGGGCATTAAATATTTATCCCCTGAGATTCCCAGCCCTCAGTTCTCTTGGGGAAGGCCCCGCCCCGGCCCCGCCTTCTCTGTCGCCCCACCCACTGCGAGCCTGGAGCCATCTTTAACCCTGGGCTCGCTCGAGCTGCGCCCGGTGGCTCCGGGCAGCGTGTCTCCCGGAGTCAGAGGAGAGGTCTCAGGCCGTCGAGTCCCTCTGGTGTGCCTGTGGGGAAGCTCATCCAGGCTGGGCGCTCCCCCCACCGGCAGCCGCTGCCGACTGCCTGCCTGACCTTGCGATGGCTCATCACCCCTCCCCGCGTGTCCTCCCTGCAGGGGTGACCCGGACAAGTGTGACATCTGGGGCAACACGCCCCTGCACCTGGCAGCTTCCAATGGCCACCTGCACTGCCTCTCCTTCCTGGTGTCCTTCGGGGCCAACATCTGGTGCCTGGACAACGATTACCACACGCCGCTGGACATGGCCGCCATGAAGGGCCACATGGAATGCGTGCGCTACCTGGACTCCATCGCGGCCAAGCAGAGCAGCCTCAACCCCAAGCTGGTGGGCAAGCTGAAGGACAAGGCCTTCCGCGAGGCGGAGCGGCGCATCCGCGAGTGCGCCAAGATGCAGCGCAAGCACCACGAGCGCATGGAACGGCGCTACCGGCGCGAGCTGGCCGAGCGCTCGGACACACTCAGCTTCTCCAGCATCACGTCCAGCACCCTGAGCCGCCGGCTGCATCACCTGGCGCTGGGCAGCCACCTGCCCTACTCGCAGGCCACGCTGCACGGCACCGCCAAGGGCAAGACCAAGATCCAGAAGAAGCTGGAGCGGCGCAAGCAGGGCGGCGAAGGCACCTTCAAGATCTCCGAGGACGGCCGCAAGAGCGTGCGCTCGCTCTCGGGCCTGCAGCTGGGCAGTGACGTGATGTTTGTGCGCCAGGGCACCTACGCCAACCCCAAGGAGTGGGGCCGCGCCCCGCTCAGGGACATGTTCCTCTCCGACGAGGACAGCGTCTCCCGTGCCACACTGGCGGCCGAGCCTGCGCGCTCGGAGGTCAGCACCGACTCAGGCCACGACTCCCTGTTTACCCGCCCGGGCCTGGGCACCATGGTGTTCCGCAGGAACTACGTGAGCAGCGGGCTGCACGGCCTGGGCCGCGAGGACGCGGCGCTGGACGGCGCGGGCACGCCGCGGGGTCGGCTTCAGAGCTCCCCCAGCCTCGACGACGACAGCCTGGGCAGTGCCAACAGCCTGCAGGACCGCAGCTGCGGGGAGGAGCTGCCCTGGGACGAGCTGGACTTGGGCCTGGATGAAGACCTGGAGCCCGAGACGAGCCCGCTGGAGACGTTCCTGGCCTCCCTGCAGATGGAGGCCTTCACCTCCATCTTGCGGCAGGAGAAGATCGACCTCGAGGCGCTCATGCTGTGCTCGGACCTCGACCTCCGCAGCATCAACGTCCCCCTGGGACCCCGCAAGAAGATCATGGGGGCCGTGCGGAGGCGGAGGCAGGCGCTGGAGCGCCCGCCGGCCCTGGAGGATACAGAGTTGTGAGTGCCCAGAGCCTCGGTGGGGATGGGAAGATAGGGCTTGTAAGGCCCTGGGGTGGGCGTGGGTCTGTCTGCCTTTTCGGGTGGGGGATAATAACTAGGTCGCCGTCAATTCCAAGAGGCCCCGCGTATTCACCCCCAATTCGGAAAAAGAAGCTGCCAGTGTACATTGCTGATGTCAAACGCACCTCGATTTTGAAGAAGTCAAAATGCAGGAAAATGGGTGTCTTCGTATGGATGAGACCCAGTAGTCATAGTAATCACAGCCGGGACGTTTTGAGCCCTCCCATCGCCTGGGTACTGGAGTTGCCCTTGCACAAGTCCTCTCATGTGCAGGGGCTGTATCATCCCCATTTTACAGGTGAGCAAGTGGAGGTTCAGAGGCTTCGAGTAGCTCACCCATGGTCCTGCTGCCGCTCAGTGCAGAGCTGGGCCTGATCCCTGGTCTGCGTGGCTCTAGAGCCTAGGGAGGGCAAGGTGACTCCCGTGGGATGGAGGGTGTGGCAGCCAGTCATCTCACCAAATGCCCAGGCCCTCAAGACAGATATCTTACCTACTGGTCCCTGAACCTTGTAACCAGAAACGAGCAGATACTCTCAACAGGGCCAACAGTGGCCTTGAGGGCAGAGTTGTCACGTTCAAAAAGCCATCATGGGGAGCCCAAGGCTGCTGTCAAACTGGCAACGCTGTTGGCCCATCCCTGCCCTGACTCTCCATCCTGGCATCCCACAAGCCCAGCAAACACGGCCGCCCCCTTTTGGTATCCATGGCCTTTACCCTGCATGGCTGGGCAGGGGTGGGTTTGGGAGGAAGTCTGGTTTAGAGTTTGGGGCCAGCGTCCCCATCCCTGGTCATCGGTCTGCCTAGAGAGGGTGAGTGGTCAGAATATTTGGTCCTGACTTAAAATGCTGTCTGCAAAGGCCCTTATCTGAGGTCTGTTTCTGTCTCTTTCTCCGCAGATAACAGGGGCTCCTATCCCCATACCAAAAAGAGTTGCAAGTTGCCACACCCACGGTGGGACCACGAGGTCCTCACAGTTGCCAGCCCTGCAGCTCCCCAGCCGCTTCCCGGGAGCAAGGACCGTGCGGTCATCTCCCTTGAAAGCCTGTCCCCACTCTGCCGCAGAGGGTATGGCCTGGAGGCACCTGGAAGGCCAAGAGAGTGACTCAGGACATCAATTCTGAGGGGTCCCGAGGCCCCTAAGCCACCTCTCTCTGAGTGGCTCTAAAGCACATGTGCATTCGTGGAAGGCCAGCCCCAGTGCCAGGGCGGGGACCACTAGATGATCATCCCATCAGAGCTGGATGGGAGCGTGTGGTGTGAGTGGGCATGGCTTGCCCTGGGGCCGTTGTCTGTCCCCACCCCTCCTCTACGGGTCCTGTGGCCTGCTCAGTCTGGAGACTCTCCTCCTACATTTTTGTGCAGGAAGAGTTTGGCTGCCTCCCCTCCCCCTGTACACCCCAGAGAGGAGGTTCCCAGCTAGGCTCTTCAGCCAAATGCCCCAGCTTTAGTCCCCACCC